CCGATTACATTCCTTTCACGCCAACCAACTTCTTGAAATGATTCACCATAGTGTATAAAGAATGGATCAAGTACTGCATCTGCCATTATCAATTTTATTTTGTCAAAAAAGGATATAGAGAGAGTTTAAGCCATATCAATTTTATCTAATCATAATATACGCGTTCATGTTCATTTAATGAAAACAAGTTGTTATTTATGGACTTTTTGTTGTTTCTGATACATATTTTTTTGTAACTAATATAAATGTTCTGGCGTAATATTGTTTATGAAATTTATGTTGTTATTTATGGAGTTTGTGTTGTGCAAACTTTGCAATTAACTTGTGCGGATATTTATGTGCATCATATCAACAAACCTTGTATTGTAAATATATGGACATTATGTTGTTAGCAAATGGATACTTTCATACTATATACGGACTTTTTGTTTTTCATTAACTTGAGAAACTTTTTCAAATGTTCAGTTTAATCACACAAATTATGTGAAATAGATGGACATTGTGTTATTAATAAATGAACCTTGTCATATTATATGCAGACTTTTTATTGTTCATAAACTTGAGAAACTTTTTATTTAAGCCCAGCCAACTGATAAACTGAACACACATAAACTTTTAGTTTAGAATATATGAAGATTGTTGTAACATCCCAATTTAAATTTTAATAGTTAATTTGGGTTAATAGAAATTTTGAAAAATATTTAGAGGTAAGCAAATTAGTAGAAAATTATTATTAAATCTAATTTAAGATATAATTCTAAATTAAAATAAAAAAATTAAAAAAAATTAATTAATTAAAAAAATAAATAAATAAAATATTATTAAATTATTATTATTATTATAAAAAGAAAGAAAGAGAAAAGGTATGAGAAAAAGAAAGGAAAGAAGGAAGAAAACGTGAACGCTTTCGGTGCAATCATTGTATATTATAATAATATAAAAAAGGGAGAGAGAGAAAAGAAGAAATAATAAAAAAAAGATGTGGGACCCACTGAATTTTTATAAAAACTCACCTGTTCCTTCATTTTTTTTTCATTCATTCCTTCGTGCGTGCTGAGGCAGAGAGAAGCGAGTCGTCGGTGTGAAATATCTAAATTTTTAAGGTAAGAGTTTTTAATAGAATATTTAGGGTGTGATTTTAAACTTTTTAAGACTAAGTAAGTGTTCTAAAAAATTTTCTTAGTCATCCTTCTTCTTTGGTTTCTGAGTTTGTAGTGGTAGAAAATTTAAGATCTGAAAGAGGGATGAATTTATGTTGAATAAATATGATTTTTGAGGTTGTCAGTAGTATAATAAATGTTCTAGAGTATAAATTTGTTGATGATCTTTGAATTTGTGGCTTATGGATCAAATTCTAAACTAGATCTGAAAATATATGTTGATTTATTGAGGTTTAGATGATTATTTGGGATGAGAAATGAATTATTATGGTTATAGGATTATGATTCTAAGCTAGAGACTCAATTTTTAATTTTTGGGTATTTTAGGTACGAATTTATGAAATAAAAAGAAAATTTTGATAATAGAAATTAGTTTAGAAGTTGATTTTTTAGATTATTAATGTTTATTGATAATTAAAAGAGGAGTTAAAAAAAATTTACTTAATAGTATTAACTCTAGATTTGTATTAAGATTGAGATTAAAAATTATGTTATATTTTTAATTCTATTATTAGAATTATTTTATTAGTTTCAAAAATTGAAACTAATATTTATAAATAATATGTTATTTGTAGATTGTATTACTGGTGAAGATTGTGGTGAGAGAGAAATTTTAAGGAATAATTTATTGAAAAAGCCACAAGGTAACCATGCTTTTAATTTGTGATTAGTGTTACTTCATGTTAATTGGGTGATTATTGAGAAAATTATGAATTTTGTAATATTGTATAATTGTATAATATTATTATGAATTTGTTTCATTATTGTGGGAGGTGTTGGGAGACTTACTATTATTGTTGTATTTATGTGCCACATGGCACGCCCCTATTGGAGCTCAATAGGTGGCTTGTAAGGGCTCGGGCTAATCTACCTTTGGCCGGGTAATTTAGCACCGAGTGAGGGCTACCGCTCGAGGTTAATGGAGGGATATAAGGATGGTTGTTTGTGTGTATTACAATATTTTTTATATTTATTGGAATTATATTATTTTTAATTCTCACTTAGTAAGTACACACTTAACTGTTTGTATACACTATCATAAATTGACTTTGGTTACTGGGACTTTTGAGTCTCATTATGTGGTTAACAATTTTCAGGAGAAGAGCCACGAGTGACACGTGGAGGAGTCCCAGAGGCTTAGTGGTATGGATTCACTGTCTCTTTTGGGTATTTAATTTATGATTTATAATGTGTTATATTGCCAATATTAGGGCTTTTTGTTTATTGTCAATTATATGAATATATAAATATAATCATGCCTTTCAAACTATTTTTATTTTTAGTACAATTTGGATGACTGTAATTTTAATATTTGGTTTACTTTGGATTGGTTAAAATAGCATGATTATAAGGCTAAATAACTGACTTGTGTTGAAAATTGACTAAATTGCTTATTTTACTTGTTGGGAGTATAAGGATGGACAAATGTGATTTAGTTTACTTGTTGGGAGTATAAGGATGGACAAATGTGATTTAGCCTAATGGCATGTGGGAGGTAAAAATTTATCTGAAATGTTATAGTGTGTGAGTTGAAGCCAATTATAAAATATTTTATATTGAAATTATTGATATAAGAATGTGTTGGGTGGCTGTAACCCAACTATGATTGAGTTAAATTATTTTTTAAAAAAAATTTGGTGTGTTACAATTGTGTTGTGCATGGTGGATATTGTGTTGTGTAATGTTTGCTTGCGCATTTTGTCAAGCCTAACTTACTGATAAAGGAGAATCTTATGAACTTTTAATTGAGAATAAATGAATTTTATATTGTGTATGATGGATATTGTGTTATGCATTGTTTGTTTATTTGTGCATTTTGTTAAGTGTAACCTACTAATAAAGTATAATCGTATGGACTTTTAGTTAAGTATATATGAACCTTAAGTTGTGCATGGTGGATATTATGTTGTGCATTGTTTTCTTACTTTTGCATTTTATCAAGCTTAACCTACTGATAAAGTAGAATTTTATAGAGTTTTAATTGAGAATAAATGAACCTTATATTGTGTACAGTAGATATTATGTTATGCATTGTTTGCCTATTTGTGCATTTTGTTACACCTAACCTACTAATAAAATAGAATCGTATGGACTTTTAGTTGAGAATATATGAACCTTAAGTTGTGCATAGTGGATATTTTGTTGTGCATTGTTTGCTTACTTCTACATTTTGTTAAGCCTAACCTATTGATAAAGTAGAATCTTATAGACTTTTAGTTGAGAATAAATGAACTTTATATTGTGTATAGTAGATATTGTGTTATGCATTGTTTGTCTATTTGTGCATTTTGTTAAGCCCAGGCTACTGATAGAATAGAACCGTATGGATTTTTAGTTAAGAATATATGAACATTATGTTGTGCATAGTGAATATTCTGTTGCACATTGTTTGCTTACTTGTGCATTTTGTCAAGTTTAGCCTACTGATAAAGTAGAATCTTATAGACTTTTAGTTGAGAATAAATGAATTTTATATTGTACACAGTAGATATTGTGTTATGCATTGTTTGCCTATTTGTACATTTTGTTAAGCCTAGCCTATTGATAAAGTAGAATCGTATGGATTTTTAGTTGAGAATATATGAACCTTTGTGCATAGTGGATATTGTGTTGTGTATTGTTTGCTTACTTGTGTAGTTTGTCAAGCCTAACCTACTAATAAAGTAGAATCTTATAGATTTTTAGTTGAGAATAAATGAATCTTATATTATGCATAGTGAATATTGTGTTATGCATTATTTGCCTAACTTCAGTATTTTGTTAAGCCTAGTATAACAATAAATTGAAATCACATGGACTTTCATATGAGAATATATCACAAACTTTTTTTTCTTGCAACTGTCTTTAACCAGCCGTCCTCTCGGGAGACCACGAACAAGGAGGATAGAGTCTTTTAAGATAAGTAGATTTATCATTATTCAAGATGTAGAAAGGCCGGACACAGTCACAAGATATGCAAGAATCCTAACCCAGCATGAGAAGTGGTTATATTGTACTTCTTTGGTGCACACAAGCAAATATAATTATGTAAATGAAAACATTTTCAAATATTACTTTTTGGGTAAGTAGGAATTATAAATATTTTTTATTTGTATATAGAGAAGCAACTATTAGATATTTTGAATATAGTGGCTAACTTTATATATATATATCAGACTTAGAATATTGTGTCAAATTTTATATGGGTACTTGTTTTAATACTTAGGCTAATATCAATATGAAATTATTCATATATGATACAATTATTTTTCTTAATATTGGAAATGCATAAAACTTTTATTGAGCATGCGTGGATATCGTCTTGTGCATAGTGAATGTTATGTCGTGCATGGTCTGTCTAACGTCATTTTGTTATAGCCTAAGCTAGTGAAATACTGAAAATGTATGATTTTTTTGTTCAACACATATGGACATCGTATTATGCATAGTGAATGTTGTGTCATGCATGGTCTGCCTAGTCATTTTTGCTAAAGCCAAGGCTAGTGAAATACTTAAAATGCATGGACTTTCTATTGAGATGCATAGACATTGTCTTGTGCATAGTGAATAATATATCATGCATGATTTACTTCATTATTTTAAGAGTTCATGCAGGTTTTAAATTCAAATCAAATAAAGGATAAAATTATACTTTTAATTTCAAAAAAATTTACAATAAAAGTCTTAAAATCTACAAAGCAATATCAAATTTATTTAAATTTAAATTATAATAAAATTTATTTTTAAGACCTTTAATATTATTTTTTTTAATTTTTTTCCCTTGTGCATGCAAAATCGGAGGGAGTATGACTTAACGAATCAGCTCCGCCTTTATTTTTTTGCGTCAACGAGTCAGGTCCACCTGCTTGCTTTTACTTTTCAACGTTCACACTGAATCGCTAACACTCGGCTCCATTCCCCTCTTCCGGATATCATTCAGAGGATAATTGGCTAATTGCCCAAATCATGATAGTGGTCGATGGGGTCCCGATCTCTGCACATTCATCTTCAACATCTCAGGTATTACTTTTGTCCCTTTCCCTTAATTTCTCTTTTTCCTCCTCTCCCATTTTCTCGTCAAACGATCAAGAGAAACATCGACGAAGTGGAAAATTACGATCTTGATGCGGCTCAGGTTGTTCAAGAATCCGGTTTGAAGAGTTTATCCTATAACTGTGGGCAGTATGAACTTGGCTTCTTTATACTAGGCTCTTTACTTATCATTGAAGATTCTATTTGTTTCGGTAAGGATACTAGGAGAAAAATCGGACTCGGGATAGCTTCATATTTTCCAACGGTATTGTAAATTTGTCAACTGATGCAAACTTGTGGCTCTTGGGGTTTTTGTAAATATGTTTTGACTATTTGTATTGTAATATACCTTGCCTTACACTTAAATGTTTTTGCAGGTAAGTTTTCTTCTATAAGTTGTGACAAGTGTGATTCACGAACCTAAACTTTAAGTTACACTGATTTAAAAACATGTTTGATTCAGATAATAAAATGTGAAAACGCAGTCTTGGGTGAAAAAGAATACGGCGTTGGCATAAGGGCATTGCTGTGCCGTTAGCATCACTCAAGATTCACCCCCTTTCAAATCTGGAGTTTTAATTTTGTTACTGGAGTCAAAGCCATGGAGTGTGATGTTTCTACCTTACACCTTACTTCAGGAACTTTAGGGCCAATTATTATTTCAGGATTGAATCAACCATGGATGCTTGGGCATATCGTTTGCCTTTGATGGTTAACAATTAGGAGCACATGTCTATGAATCCATGCCATTACCTACTAAGTGTATTTAGGATTTACAAGTTCTTCTCATTGTCTGTGGATTGGTTGGGCTGTGGGTGAGGGAGAGGGGTGATTAAGAATAGAAGCTAGAAGTTGATCATTCCGGAAATCAAGCCTTATTTCATGCTCACTGTGAATAGAAAACTCAATCAAAAAGCGTGATCATTTTATATGCATATGGATAAACTTGTTAAACACCTGACTTTTGTGCTTGTGTACAGGGAATAGACACCCTACTTTCTTTGTTGGAGAATCCTTTTCTAGTATCTGCCTCAAATTCTTTCAAAGCTATCCCAGAGAGGAAGTTTTCAGTTTCTGAAGAGTCTTGCCCTGATCGATCAAAATGGGTATATGTATTTCAAAGTGAATATGCGACTGTCGACCCTGCATTTGTTAATGTATTTATCTTTCTCCCTCTTTTTAATTTCATTTGGCAAATAACTATCACTTAAAAAAAGTCCCCCTTTTTTTTTGAGAAGGAAGAGATTGTACATGTCTTGTTTGTTAAATTTTGAATCAGTTTATTTGAACCTACAACTAATAATTTTTTCCTTGATCATTCAGTCTGTGTTGGACTGTTAAGGGCGTCATTGGTGCAATTTATCTGTCATCAATTTTCCATGGATTCCTTCTTCCATCATACCCTTTTCTTTAGGCTCCTGAAAGACTCCTTTCTGTTCTGTCTTCTTTTGGGAAAAACTGATCAGATAGTTAACTTTCGGCAAATAATTACCATTCAACAACTTCATGCCCTTACTGTTTTAATTATCTGATGATATCAGAGGACTAAATTGTATGATGCCAATATAAATTTCAATTATTTATTTGATTATTTGATTTCATCATGCTTTCTTTTAACTTTCTATTCATGTGCTTCCTTCTCTCTCTATATTGCTAGTTTGTTGGCACTGATGAAGCGACAACGTGTGTGGGTCTTGTCATTCGGAACCAGAGCAATGGGATGTAAGAATTAAGGATTAAGTCCTTTGTAGATAGGAAGTTCTCTATATTTAAATTTCACTGTTTTCTTTTTTTTTTGGTTTCCTGTGTCTGATTGATTTTTTAGGGCCACGGCCAATGTCTGGTTTATTGTTTTATCTCCATGTTGCAGGACATCACTTGCCCATATGGATTCGCCTAAGATTGTAGATAGGGGGCTCTCTCAAATGCTATCACTACTCGTTGATGACAATGTGGAGACTGTGTTGGAGGCATTTTTCTTTTTCTTAATTTTTCCCATGATTTATTTTGGCCGCCCCTACTTCTAGTGATGATACTTCAAAATTTATGTTTGAACTGAAACTGTGCTATCTCAATACAAATGTAGGTACATCTAATTGGGGGTTTTGAAGATGTCTCACCAAAAGTCTGACCAGAGTCTTCTATTCCATTAATAATTTTCCTTAAATGTAGTTTCTTCTCTATCATAATGATTGTTCAGTCTCTTGGGCTTCTGTGCAGCATGCTAATGGTAGGACAGGATCAGAAAGCCATTCAGATTTGGATGGTTATTCCTTTCCTTTGTGTGCAAAAATTGTTCAAGCTTTATGCACAAGGGAAGAGACCTTTCATCTTCAAACTAGCTGTGTTCTTGGGCATAACACCCAGAGGGATTCTTATGGAAATGCATTCCCCATTTTCAATGGATTTGTGGTCAGCTCCTCGTTATTTGCTCCTGAATCTTGTCACTGTTTACTTTCAGTTTGTGTAAATTTGAGATAAACCCCTTTCTTCCCATGATTATATAAAACAAATTCTCATGCCCCAAGCACTTATTACTCCACCAGTTCTGCCTACATTTTTTTGAATCTCTGGAAACACTCATTGTGTTTTTTCCACTTTGAGGTTTGTATAATATTATGACTGTTTTTTCCACTCATTGCTTCCTACAAAGTTTCAGCTGCACGTAAACATAAAGCTGGAAACTTTTTTTAAAACACTAGTATTAGTTACTGTAACAAGATTGTAGTACTAAAATCTAAGAACAAGTTATAAGGTTCATTAAAAAATTATTGTATCTGCAGAAATCACTTATTATAACAGAATATTATCTAAAGTTAAATTACTTCCACATATTGCAAGGGAAAACTACTTATGGTTGTGTGACATGTTTTGGTTATTGGCAGTTTGTGAAAACAAGTTTCAGTTCCTTCTTAATTTTGGCGTGTACTTAAACTCTGAATGGGATTTAGACTTCTTAATCTTATTCACCGTTTCAGGTGGAAACTTTGACTGGAAGAGTCTTCCCTGCTAGTTTTGATAGAACTTCAAGGTGCCCGGATGAAATTGTCAGGAGAATACGAGTAACTGCTTCCTTTGAAGATCCTGATAGGAATGGGAAGTTACTGGAGACATACGACACCAAAAAAGATCGGTTCATAATTGCTCCATGTCGCTGGTAAATTGTGAAGATTATAACTTCAATATCTGCGTGTATAAATTGTTTATAGTTCAAAGCAGAATGAAAACAAGTACTTAATTATGTTACGCTGGTGTAAATTATTTTCTGGCAGCCTATAGTATCTCTTAGATCAACTAATACTGAAGCTTCTTCTCCTGGCCCCTTCTGATTTAGGACTCTTCGCCAATACCGTATTGCTTCCACACTAATTCATCATTCCGATTCAGAAATTCTTTCAATGTGTTCTACCTCTCCTGACGCAGAAGGCCCAGATTTTGTTGATAGCTTGAAAAGGTAAAAACACTTTGATTCCATGCTTTTTATCTTATTTATTTGATGCAAGAACTTCCAGGAACAGGCTTTTTATCTTACTCCACACTATTTATTCCATGCTTTTTATCTTAATATAACATGTAAATAAAATCATATATCACAAGAATGCTTGTAGCCCCGTGCAAAGAATTGAATAGCCTGAAACTTGATTGTTCCTCAATTCACTACAATGATGATATTGATCCTCAACGGCCAAGTATTTTTTTTTCAAAAGGCGACGTCAATTAATATAATCTCTCTCAGCAAGACATCAACTATGATTTTATTCCAAGGTACTGAAAACCAATGAGGCACTGGTTCAAGAGGTAATAGTCAACACAGTAGTTGAACCGTGGTCAGACTGGTCATGACATGACCAAAGCATTTCATTGAATTGGTCTATATAGTGGTTAAACGGTTTTCCAATTCAACCGTTGAGTTGACCCGGTTTTCAATTCTATGTTTTTTTTTTTCCAGTTTAGCTTCAAGCCCTCAATCATCACATGAATAGTTACCAACTTTGAAGTTCTTAGGAAATTTTAATTTTCATTTATTGAACAGCACTCTCACATATGCAGAGGTTATATTTTCCTTCTGCAGGCAGTGGAATTATTTGATTGAGCATCCATACTGGACAGAAACCTTCCCTGAGAAGCAGCCTCGCATTTTTGAGAGGACAGCTGATGGAGGCTGGACAAGATGTTGATGACACTCTTAAGGCTGCAAATCTTTTCCCATGATTAGAATAGCTTCTGCAATGTCATAGTCTCACGGGACATTCATTTGTGGCCTATTGCTGCTTCTGACTCTCTAGTTTGATTTATAATGATTATTGGCATTCTCCTAAAAATTTTATGATTGTTTTCTCAGAATTTTACTTTCATTTGCTTTGAGAAATTCTTATCTAGAGGTTAGCCAAGTTAATCATCAATAGGCATTAAGTATGTCAGAAATGGACCTCACTATAATGCGTGTTGGAAAAGAATTTGGTAATTTTTTTATACTTGAAATTTCAGATGGAATAAGTATTTTTTAAAAAAGAAATTGTTGATCCTTTTTTTTTTTTGGTAATCTATATAATTAAGTGTTGTTGATATTTGAGACTTAGCGGAGAGATTTTGTTGCACTAAACTCTAAAACCAAAATTAGAGCCAATTCTTAAAATTGAAAGCAAATTATACGGCCATATGCATGTTGCTTAGTCACAGCAGATTGATCAGCCTAGTTGCTTTAAGGTACATTGGATCTGGATTTGAATGATTTTACAAACATATTGAAATTGGAGATTCGCTTTGAATTATGTTCCGAATATTGAAAAGGAAATTCCAAATTCCAATTGGGTAAAGCATATCTTATTCAACGATTTCTTTAGAAATCTTAAATATGAGAGAAGTCAAAAGAGGCATCATGGGAGCACTGAACTGGACTAGAACATTTACCTGGCATTTAACTTTCTTAGATTGTGTTTAAGATTTAATGGTCAAATCATGATTAAACTATGATGCAACTTGTTTTAATTAAATTAATATAATTTGAAGAATGTATAAAAATTTAAAAATATCTTAGAAAATATTTATTCATACTCTTTCGGGACCATAATATAAGTTATAATTAATTAATTTACAGTTTATGAACAATGTTAGTCAAAACTTTAGATTCTAAAAAATATCCACATTTTTTTTATTTATTCCCTCATTAAATATCCTTTATAAGAGCTATGATAATAGTAATTAAAATTTTAATGCATGAGTTTTTTTAAAAAAAATAATAAATGAAACAAGGACATAGTTGAATAAGCAAATACAAAAGTTATCCAATGCCTTCTCTTTTGAATCAGGAAAGTTTTTAAAATATGCCTTATATTATGATCCAGACAGAGTACCTGATTAACCATAACCATGATGATTTTGGGGTAATGTATTGGCAATTTGATCAATTTTCCATCAATTCACTTTCTGGCCAGTTCTAAGGATCTTTCGAAGTGAAACTACGGCTGGATTGGGTGCGGTCCAATCCTTATAACACTAATTATGATGCACACGCAAACTTTTTGAGTGGGGTTGAGAACAAATTCATCTCATAATGGGAGATCAGAATCTCTCTCTCTCTCTCTCTCTCTCTCTCTAAAACACACACGAAATTTTTAAGTGGGGCGGAGAATAAATTCATCATGAAAGGGAAAATCGGAATCAACTCATCTTGATAAGGGAAAAACACACACGCATAATATTGCCAAAAAAGAAGTGGGTAGAATAACCTGGGAAAAGATACAATAATGTCATCTACTGGGTAATTTGTTTGGTGCTTGTGTCATGGTATGTCCATTTGAATGAGTAAAACAATAAGGGGAAAAAATGGTTCAAAGTCAACAATAGGATTTAGATAAAATAGTTCAAAGTAAACCATGGCTTAATAACACTATACAGTCTATACTAATGGATTTTGCTTTGTTTTAACACGAAACAATCCTTCAGACTTGCTGCTCAAAGCAAACCATGGGACACGCCCAATTAATTTCGCGGGCTCGAAAAATGATTTTACAAGCGGAAATAAATTAATTGAGCCCAGCAAAGAAAATTTGGGCCCCCAAGTGATGGACATGTATAATGACAATGTGCAGGCAAGAATCAAGGGAATCACAGATTGTGAACCGATTAAACCAATGAAAATGATTATTTTAATTCAAGGACACCAAAAAATCATATAAAAAGACTAAAATCAGGTCATATTTAATATCATAAGGTGTTTACTATTGGAGCTGACTGTTGAATATTGTAACATCAAAATTATCACTTAGAGCCTTGTAGGTCAAAAAGTCGGCGCATTTATCTACTTATCTGATAATATAATTAAAAACAATCACCCAATTCTTTACGATGAGATTTCTAATTTTTTTGATGACTGCAATGAAAGGATGGCTTTTAGAGAAGTTCCATTCAATGAGTGATACAGCCTTCATAAAATTTGAGTTAACATTAACTTTGGAAAGCTTAGCATTCCAATAAAGATTAAATTTTTTCGATATCCTTACAAGCTCAACTATTGTGTTGGGGTGACAATCAAAATTTCAAAAAAAAAAAATCCTCAATCTAATTATTCTTGTTATTTTTAATGATGCCTTTACAAGCAGTTACATTACTAAGGTTGACAGAAACTGTCAACATCAAGTCTAACTCATCAAAAATCTAGTAGATTTCATTTAGTTTTATATCTAATATTAATTTTACTCAGAAGGTTGAGTTGGAATGAAATTATGTGACCTTGAATCCATAAATCCATAAATAAGTAAGAAAAATTTGATTAGAATCATCATAAGAAAAAGGTTCCTCCCTTTATTTTCTCTCCTTTTCCCTCCCTTTTCCAATACCCACCGTTTATCAAATTTATAACTATAATAAAATTATTTAATGAAATAAAATGAACGGTGAAGATTGAAAAAGAGAGGAAAAAGGAGAGAAAAGAAAGGGAGAAATCCCTCTCCTAATCATCACGGATATGGATACATAGACGTTGTTACATAATCATCATGGACATGGATTCCAATGTATTTTCTTTTCTATATAAACACATATTTTTTTATGATTATTTCATTATTTTTGTTCGCCTGAATTTCCAACACCGTCAAATGTCGTTTTGAGGACGTGTGTGTGTATGTGCGCTATGTAGTAGTGCGCAGAGAATCCTCGTGAATGGGAAATGAATTAATTCTGCGTCCATGTCCAGATCCAGATATAGCAACTTCGAATTCATCTTCCCCAAACCCCACCTTTTTTGGGAAAATAAAGCACGATCCTTCTTAATCATAAAGCTGTAAATTAAGCATAGTATTTAAAGGGTCAGGATTTAGATGGGTTAATTTTGTTAAGTTTGATTATATTTGAGGTTTTCATTTTAGTCAGCTTGGTCTCGACTCTTAGAGGCTCGACCCTATATTTTTTTATTTTTTAATTTAAAAATTTTAAAAATACATTTAAAATTTTAAAAAAGTTATTACATATAACATTAAATTTAGAAAAATAAATTTAAATCAATACACAAAACAAGAAATTTAAGTCTAATAAAAAATAACAACATCACAAAATCAACACTGCTAATGATCAAACTTTGCTAGCATCATCAGCTAAATCTTAATGATTTTTATTGTCATCAACATCAATATAACTTCATTTCTTTCATTGCAGAGCCTTATTAGTGATAAAGATATTCAGCTTTTTATATATTCCTTCTTCATCCTTGTGAAAATAAGGCTAGGGTTTTTAAATTATTGTAGTATTTACTCTCTCCATTAAAAATATAAGGTATTTTTAATTAAATTTCCTCCCAATAAAGTAGTTACTTATTTTCAAACTAACACTATCTTTTCATATTTACTCTTACTTAATAAAGTGTTTCATCTTAAAATAAATATAAAGTGATTCATTCAATGGGGACACTTAAAAAAAATACAATGATCACACCTTAAAGGATTAAAAATGTCTTATACTTTTAACACTAAACTTTTCAAAAAATATTTTACATTTTTGAATGGAGGTAGTAATTTTTTAATACTAAAATTTAAAAAATTATAAAAGGACCAATCCTTTTATTTTAGGGTTTAAAAGGGAGCTTGAATTATCATTTTATATTCTAAAGTAGTGACTCAAATTTAAATTTTTTTGGATCCCTAATTGATGACTCTAACTGCATATTGATAATTATAACAAAATAATAATAATAATAATAAAGCAGATTCAAAGGGTGTTCCTTGTATGGGCAGAGAGGAAAAAACTATATAGGGTCAATGGGGACCTAAAGCACCTAAATCAAAGAAATTTACGCACAAGATATAATACATTTTGAGTTGATTCTGCATGTTTAAAAGCCTTACATGTAAATATAATTTTTGATGAAAAGACTCATTTATTTCTCGTTTAAAATGAACAAGTTTTCTAGATATATGTACAAGAATAAATTTGCATATAATATGAGAATGTATATACATTAATATGATAATATCTATTCATTAAACATAACTTGTATGATTTAATTGAATAATAACGTATAAGTATTCATGTATGACAAAATTCATACATCAACAATACAATATCTTGTGTATAATGTTATTTTTTTAAATGGGGACAAATGAAACTTTTTACTATAGAAATCATATTTGCATGTAAAACTTTTAAGTAAAATAAATTTAGAATATATTAAGTCTTAATGTGCCATGCTCCCAAGCATATATTCCCACCAATAATTATTGTTAGTTTAAAATAAATAAAAAATAATTAAAGAACAAAGAAGAATTTGAATCTCTATATAAAGGAGAGCTCAAACCATGTTATCTTCATCACCAAGCAAACAAGTAAAACTCAGGAGCAAGCCAGGCAGCGAACCGTGGCCATGGCCTCAACGCAATGCTACAGGAGCGGCAGCGAGACCTGCGAGACCAAATGCCACCAGAACTCGTCACTCGGCCACAAGGTCTCTGAAATGGTTGGCAAGGTCTTCCATGGCAATCATCACAACCACAACCAGTCTCCCTGCCATAACCAGACCCAGCAACCTCACCACCACCACCTGACTGGCACCGGCCACGGACACGGCCACAGCAGCGCTTGTTCAACTGAATATGGAATGAGTCAAGAGAGGATGGTCGTGAAGCTCAAGAAGAGGTCTCACTCTCACAACCACCGTGATGGCAACCGTAGCTGCACCGACGACAGCAGCGGCAGCGACTCCGACTGAACCATCAACTGCAAAAAAGGTTACTATCTCTTATCTCTTATATTCATGCATTCTTATTTCTCTTTTATTTGCTTTTATAGTTCAATTTTTTTTAATCATCCTTGTTATTAAATGCCCTACTTATTATTATTATTTTTTTTTTGGTATGTTTTTACCAGAATGAAGGGATGTGGGGCAGTGCGGTGATGATCTAATCATAACAAGGTGCCCATGGAATTAATGAGAAGTACGACTGAGTAAAAATAAGTTATTGCAAATAATTAAGCCACGTTTGTTGGCTTTTGGTGTGTCATCTGTGTACTGTATGGCGAATAAATTTAATAAAGGTATTGAGCAGTTAATTAAATAAATCAATAGCCACAATAATCAGCACTACCTATGGCTCATATCACTAAGTTGGACAGGTCGAATTGTCGTCTCAACAAGAAAGCAATCCGATTTAACCATTTGACTGTTTTTTATAGTTAACCTGAGCGGCTCTTAAAAATACAGAGAAAAACTCAAAATGTAGAATAATTGAATTGTTTCACCTATTTGTTAATATAATATATGTATATATTATTTTTTATTTAATTATTATTTCATCATCCGGTCTCATTTTTAAAACTTTTCGATTCATTGTTTAGTCTAATTTTTAAACTATTGGCTCATATTACATATATGCTTCTTGAGATGGGAACCAAGTACCATAAGATTTTCAAGTTGAATCATTATTGATTCTCAATATCCACGTTAATATATTAGTAAGTATTAATATATGTACCACCAGTGATTTGGATCATGTAGTGAATAAATTTTTGATGAAAAACATGTCCTCTAAAAAATACTCACAAATTAGGATTTAAATTCAGTTATTGTACTTAATATAGGCATTGAGTAACTGTGTCATCTAAAACATTAAAATATAAATCAATAATTTAGATAAATTCACTCATTTATTAATCTTAAGTGAAGTATAAATTTATAATCATGAATTTAAACTTTAATGATTTAAATGGTACAGCATTCAATATCTGTATTAAGTACAGTCACCAAATTTAAATCTCACAAACCATGAATTGATTTGAATGAAAGACTTGCAATGTGGGAACTTACCTTCCAAAAATATCAATATATGTACTGAAGAATTCATCATTTTGGGAGCATAAATGCACAATACACTACCCTTCTTATCATTCATAAAATATTGCTCAGTGAACATATCTATTTTCTGATGCACCCAATATTTAACAGAAAAGCAGATTCAAATGGTAGTCAAATAATATTTCTACCAATTATAAGTAAAAAATAAGGAGAAAAATAAAAAAGAATTTCAACCTCTATAATTCTATATATTCCCTTCGTTAAAAAATATAAATATTTTTAATAAAATTTTATCTCTTAATAAAATAGTTATTTATTTTCAAACTAACTTTATATTTTTATATTTACTTATATTTAATAGAATGTTTTACCTTGCAATAAATACAAACTAATTTATTTAATAAGGTACTTTAAAAAAAGATAATAATTATACTTTAAAAAACTTAAAAATATCTTATATTTTTAAATAGTTAATCCCTCACAAAATGTCTCATATTTTTTTAATGGAAGAAGTACATACAAGTGGCTTCAACTCTCAAATAACATGTCAGTGCCAAGAAAACAAGCAAAACCATTTCCCCCCATTAATCAAGGCACTAAAACTAGAATAGTTATTAATTAGTCTAGACTTCAATTTAAAAATTAATTAATTATTATGATTACAATTAAAATTATAATCAAATCGTTATAAACAAAATGTTTTGTTCAGTTATTTTTACAAGTTTGCCCATGTTGATGTAAGATCATATTAATGCTGGATTTGGATTTTTTCCTTTGTAAAGGATAGAAAAAAAATCAGTACAGATTTAACCTATTAAATTAAATTTTAAAATTTACATTTAATAATTTTTAAAAATGTAAATTTAATTTAAACAGTTGAAATTTTTAATGAAATGATATTAAAATTAAAATTATAATCAAATCGTTATAAATAAAATGTTTTGTTCAGTTATTTTCACAAGTTGGCCCATGTTTAAGTAAGATCATATTACTGCCGGAGTTGGATTTTTCCCTTTGTAAAGGATAGAAAAAAAAAATCAGTACAGATTTAAATTATTAAATTAAATTTTAAAATTTACATTTAATAATTTTAAAAATATAAATTTAATTTAAACAGTTGAAATTTTTAATGAAATGGTATTAAAAAAAAAATAGAGAAGAGAAACTCACCCTGTCATTGCTTGGGCCTTCGGCTTTTTACTACCGGCAGACCCAAGAAATAGCGAAATACTGAATACTGATAGCTGTTCTTTGCTTTTCAAAATGTCTTTCTGATCGCGCGTTTTACATATATCCCCGCCATCATGTCCGTCGACCCTCGTTGCGACACCGCAGTCGCAACGGTTGTCTCAGGTGGCACTTCATCTGTTGCCGCCGTCACATCGACTGCAGACGCAGCCACCACTATAATGGTCGCGCCTTCTCGTCCATTGACGACTTCACAACCATCGTCGCCTAGACTCATATCTGCACCCCCTCAACATCCTCCTTATCCAAACCAACTCCATTTCCCGTCGCAATCCCTCTACACAGCCCAAGCGCTTCCTATTCGGACCTCAAACCCTCATCCCAATTCTCAATTGTTGTCCATGCCCCATGATCAGCGAGGTTAGGATATGCTCTCACCCGTCACTTTTTCTGGTTGTGGATTTGTTCCCAAAGGTATCGGTTCCTTATCGACGATCAGATCGTCACTGTGGCGAACAACGGTGGCTGTAGCTACCTCCCCCCCCCTCTTTTGTTTCCCCTTGGTGTTCGGGCTGGGGGTTCGCCTCATTTCGGTTGTTTGAACCGTCCGTTGATGACTAGGCTGCCCAATTTACAATATCCTCGTCAGGGTTCGGCCGTTAACGGTGTCCCGGTCTCTTTACGTACGAAGGTTTGACAGTAGATACTGCTGGTTCTTGCCGGTTAAATTTTGTATCTTCTAACTGACAAATAAAAGCATATCCCTGTGACTTATATTGTGAACACAAGTAGATAAATAATACGTTGTTCCTTTATAATCTGAATTGTTACGCTGGATTATAAAGCTTTCTGTTTCCTCTTTTTTTTAGGCTCCTCCTCGAACTACAATTTCTGATGGCAATGGCTATAAAGATGGAAGGTTGGTTTGCTCATGATATTTCATATATACAGATTCCGATTCTGACATTTTTTTTTTTTTGTGCTGAGCTACGAATTGATAGCCCTCTGATGTGTTTCCTAGGGACAAAAGCAGGGATAGCAATTTTATAATCGTCAAAGGTAGAGAGGTGAGCACGCATTCCTTGAGATCGTATTTTACATGTTATGGAATTTAAATGTCCTACGGTAGAAGGATTGCAATGAAACACCATCTTCATAAATTCATTTACATTTGATTTCTGGTGATAAGAAATTCTTGTATTTTTTGTGAAATAGAATATAAGACACCTTGAGTTAGCATCTTAGGGCCTGTTTGGTTTCTATTCTCATTTTTTGTTTTTACAAATTGTTTTGTAATACAGTTTTCAAAATTGTTTTGGAAAAACAAAACAAAATGAAAATCTGTTGAGTTATACTAATTTTAAAACAGTTTTAAAATTAAAAAATAAACTGATAGTCATAGTCATAGATAGTTAATGGTGGTGATTTATGATAGAAGTTGGTCAAGGTAACTATAATTTTTAATAATCAAAGGTAGTGTATTTTAAAAATAAGAAAAATAAAATGAAAACAATATGAGGTTGTTTCCATTTAAAAAAAAAACAGTTTTGGAAGCAATAAAATAAAAAACAACAAATAATTTTTAAATTTTTCTGTTTTCAAAAACAAAAAATAGTTTTTAAAAATTGAAAACAAGCAGGCTTGTATATTTCTGTTGCAGTTTTCTATTGTTCAATTATTGTGCTCAAATGTTGATTACGTTATATTTCAAATTTATAGCTCACAATAGCAGAGGATGCTTCTCTGTATGCACCAGCACTTTGTAGATCATGGTTGAGGAATATTACATACGAAGATTGGTAGGTTTGAATTATTTCTTGAAGCTTCTTATATAAGCATTTGGCTTCTGCTTCTGTATTCATGCACGTAATTCTGACTCACTAAGTCTTTCATTATATGTTTAGTCATATTTTGTTTAAATTCGAGGAAAAGATGTTATTGCCACTAACTGTAACTTTTTTGGGCTCTGGGGAATATTTTGACAAGCTCCTTTGGGACCAGAGAAAGTTTCATCAACCTCAGAACCCTTTTGTAGCATTCTAGGAGTGAGACTCTGTTGAGCATACTCGATGTGCCCAAAATGGGATGACTGGCCTTCCTAACATCTTTTCCATCATTGGTCTTGTGTGGATTGTGATACTTCAAGGAGTTTTGGGTTTTCCCGGAAAAAGGAAAAAGCTGAGGCTAAAGTTTTGGTGTTTTCATTTGTTGTACTGCATGCAATCTTATTAAGGTTGCTGTGATTTTTGATTAAGTGTACGTCTGACAGAAGTTTTTGCTCTGTGGGGGTGAGTTCTTGCTGCACTAGTTTGCTAACGTCCTTGTTAGATTGAGTTAAAATTAATCAAAGACTTTAGCCCTAGTGTATCAGGGTTCCCTACCACGGAGAGAAACCTAAATAGTGAAGACTTGTTGGAAGAAGGACAGGGGATTACTCAGAAGTACATGGAAGACTAGTCTTTCCTAATATATTTAGCTGGTAGTTTCTTCATTGTGACTTACCTTGGTTAGTGATAATGCTTGTATGACCATTGACATTCTTTTGGGTATTAATTAATGATTAGTTTTTATATTTTACATGCATTTCTAGCAGGTACCACAGTAAGATGTTATAAAAGAACTTCCCAAACACTTGCCTGCATCAATGATGGCTAGTTATATGTCAAACAAGAAAGTTGAAGAAGAGCAAGAGGTTAATTTTCCTCATCAACTGTCTAATTTAGGCAATCAAAATTTTGTGAAGGGAAAGCTGTATTTACATGAAAAATGGGGGAAAACATATCTTGTTCAGAGCTATGTTGAATAAGTTTGATTAGACAATGCAGTTCTTGTATACCATTTAGTGACAATAGAAAATAGAATTATTTTGCTCCTTAATCCTTCTCTGAGAATTGATATATGCTCAGTTTTGCTTTCAGGATGAGAAATCTGATGAAAACTTAACACTGCGGGATGTATTGCAGATGCATATCAAACGTTCCAAAAAGGTCAGAGCAAGGTAAGGACGTAAGGTTTTTCCTTTTTTTCGTTCACCTTATGATTTATAATCATTATATGTATTTATGAACAATAGTCAGCAAAACTATTATTTGTATTTATGAACTGTGGTCAGCAAAACTCTTGCATGTATGATGTGTCTATAAGAATGGGTAGATGATACATACAGGGTACATAGATCTAGGATGCGACAATTATTGATCATTTATAATTCTAATTGTCAAGTTTGGGGTTTGGCGGTCAACTCAAGAACTTAGAAGGTCCATGTTGAGTGATATGAAGCCACCGAGTTACTTTCGGTATGACAACAGCCAATGGTGTATCTACTTCTCAAGGAAACTGGAAGCCGTGATGTAATTATTTAATAGGATGCAGTGTGCCCCAATAAAACCATATTATCACTATCTTCATTTTGGTTATTCTGTTAATGCATTATTATTATTAATATTTTAGCATCATTAATTATGTTGGGGATTTTCATGTACTTTTATACGTTTATCTGTGTGTTAACATGTATATGTTTGTGTACTTGTATGTTTACTTTTACATTCATATTGTTCATAAGTTCTATTTTAATAGGAGAAGACCTTTCCTTGTTGAAGTATAAATTCTACAAGTACCTTGTTATAGAATTTCTTAGCAAAAAAATTCTATAAATATGACTCTGACTTTATGTTGTTTCAACTCTTTAATTGCAATTTTTCCCGAGGGCCATTATTCAAAGAAGCCACAAAGCGCTCAAGGAAGCAAACTGAAATCTTCTCTTAAACATTTGATTAAATACAGAATAAGACTGCCTCTCATTTAAGATTGATTTAAAATATTTCATTCAGCTAGCACTTAAGTCACACTGTTCCCCTATAGGCCCGTAGACAATGGAATGATAGATTTTGACATGCATGCGTCTTCGTGGCATGTAGATTGAGGAAAGAACGATTGCAGCGAATCTCAAGATACGGACGCAGGCTTAACCTTCTGCTTCCTCCGCCTGCTGAACAGTTCAGAAATGACACAGCTGCTGGGAACTGAGCTTGCTGACCCACAAACTTCAGGGTGATCAGACTACTCATTCAAGTTGTGTGTGGGTTCTTCAAGGGTGAAGTGCATAAATTGGTTGGGGAGCTGATGAATCTGGTGCAAAAAGGTGATATATTTATTAAGATAAATTTTTCTTCTCTGCATTACTCCAACAAAGACATGTGCCTCAGGCATCAAATGCAGGAGTCTGTTTTGGGAATTAATGGAGGGTTTAGATATTCTTTTGATTTCGACTATAGGTCTTCCTTCCCCGCTAAAAAATCAGCGATGCTAGCTATGATTTGAATGAATGTAGTCACTAATGGCTGTCTTCCTAGAGTAATAATTATATTACCCTAGACTCGAGCCAGATGAGTTTACCTTCTTGTAACTACAATGCCTGTTTCTGCAAGGTGATTATAAACTTTTTCGATAAATAATAGCATATATATAAGGATTCAGTAATGGTTCTTGGCTTGAAATTCCTGCAAATCATGTAATCACCGTGTTATCTCCCCCTCCCCCTCTCTTTTCTTTTGCAAGTTCGATATCTGTCTGTAGATAGTTTTTGAAAACGATCTCTTCAGCAGGGGCATGTAGCTTTGCTATGCGGTGAGAGTGAAACTCTAAAATCTTTGATACTGGCTGGCTTGATGAAAGCTGTAAAACTTGCCAATGTTGAAGCATTCCTTTAACTCAGTCAAAAAGAGAAGCGTTCCACATATAACTAAGGCTACAATTTGAAGATGAATTAAACAGAGTGGTATCTCATATCAGTCGGATCCTCTCCATTCACAAAATGAATGGAGTGTGCATAAAGTACTCTAGGAGGGGGAAAAAAAGAGAGCAGCGCAGTGAGTTTCATTTGAGGCATAGAACTCATACACTATATTTTGTTGTGTCTATCCCTGAATGCACTCTTTCCATGATGTGAGCTTCAACATCTATAAATATAATATATCAAATGATAAAAAAAAAAAAAACTTTAAAAGTTTGTCATTTGAGTGGTGCAGGTTCATTTGAGAGCTGAATGAACTTGAGTATATAAAAAGTTCATATCATCAAGTTTAGTTTTAACAACTTTGACTTTCAACTTATTTGAAATTTAAAAATAAGGTTAAAATACATTTTTAAAATTATTTTAAAGTATTTTATAGGATAAAAATGATATAAATATACAATATATATCTTTTTAATTTCTTAAAAAAATATTTATAACAATATACTCAAATAAGATCTCTTAGTAAAAATGCACTGAGTTTTAAAAAAATAATGAACATTTAATATATATATATATATATATTATAATATTTTTTAAAAATATATCTCGGATGTTTAGGACCCAATCAGGGTAAGCTGAATTTTTTCAAGCAGGCCATCATGAATAGACTAGAATGTTTAAAAAAAATTACAATTTCTCTAAGCTTCACTGTAAACTTTTTTATGTTTATACAAGTTGGTTGGAATTACCTGGTCTACAATTGACTAAAAAAGGATGAATATTATCATTAATTTCATTATTTACATGTGATATGAGCATTTTTAATTGTTGGTTCGTCCTTAAATAAAACAAATAATGTGAATCACATTATGAGACCACGTACAGTTTGCAGGTATACAAGGTCAAAGAAAGTTGACAAGAAATTCATGGCATTAATTTTCCAAACAATATTAATGTTATTTGGACTTTAATCTAATAATCTCATAGTGTGTGGCATAAATTCTTTGGCGTGGGTTTCTTTTTCGTAGTTCCTCAAGTTGTACGAAATTGACCAAACTTTGTATTGTTGGACACACTTCTAAGTTCTAACCCCTTCACCTCGAACTCTTTTTCCCTCTAGTGAGAAAAAAAAGAAAATATATGGACTTCTATTTTTCGTAGTACACAAATTTGACTTATTTTAATACTACTTGAATCACAAATAATTGGGTTTCATCTTTGACAAATCAAATATGGTGGCTAAAATAGTTCAAAATTTAGGCCTTTCTTTTATTTGTTATTGCTAATTTCAAAGATGGATAGGTATAGACACAAAATGTATCAAGACTACGCCTTCTATTTGGCTCCTTAATATACAGCAAAGTTACAATCAATTTCATGTTTATTAAGAAATGATAGTTCTTATAATTGTTAAAGAAAATATGTAACTTTTCAATCTTACCCAACTTTACAATCAATGACCATAATAAGTTATTGTCTGTGAATTCAAACAATAATAAGTAAATAAATAAAGAAAAAATTAATTATTTAATCCCTGTAGTTTGATCCAAGTGCAATTCAATTTTTAATTTTTGACTCATTATAACTCAATTCTTATAGTTATAACTCGATTATAATTCAATCTTTAAACTTTAACTCTTATAACTTAATCTCTATACTTTTAACAATTTAAACATTAGTTTCTATATTTTAAAAACTAAAATTATAAAAATTAAAAATATTTAGCCCATCTTTGACTAATCAAATATGGTGGCTAAAATAGTTCAAAATTTAGGCCCATCTTTTATTTGTTATTGTTAATTTCAAAGATGGATAGATATAGACAAGACTATGCCTTCTATTCCGCTCCTGAATATAAAACAAAGTTACAATCAATCTCATGTTTATTAAGAAATGATTGTTCTTATAATTGATAAAGAAAATATTTAACTTTTCAATCTCACCCAACTTTACAATTAATGACCATAATAAGTTATTGTCTATGAATTCAAATGAAAATGAGTAAATAAATAAATAAAGAGAAAATTAATCATTAAATTCCTGTAGTTTGATTCAAATACAACTCAATCTTTAATTTTTAATTCGTTGTAATTCAATCTTTATAATTGTAACTTGGTTATAATTCAATTTTTGAACTTTAACTATTGCAACTTAATTCCTATAGTTTCAAATCATTTAAATATTGGTCTCTATATTTTAAAAATTAAAATTATAAAGATTAAAAATATTTAAAATTTTAATATTTATAAAGATTAAAAGGGTTTATTAATTTAAAATATTAGTAATAAATTTTAACATAATTTTTATCTTTATAATTTTATTTTTTAAGATATAAGGACCAATAAATGATTAAAAATATAAGATATAGTTACAATTGAGTTAAAACTTTAGAGATTAAGTAACAATTGTGTCAAAACTATAAAGGTCAAATGATTAATTTTTTCATAAATAAATATAAGGATAAATTAAAAAAAATATTAATTACGCCAAACTAACAAGCCAAAAAATAGTTTTCAAATTTTGCTTTATACTAAGGATAGAAAGGAGTATAACTCAAGTAAATCTCACATTTAAATAAAACTTGCTCTTCTAGTCTTATCTATAGAGGGAGGGCATTAATTTTGGTCATATTTGTAAAACATCTCATCATTTTCTATGCTCATATTTACCTTTCTTCCCTTATTAAATGTAATAAAAAATTATTAAAAATAATTTTTTTGATTCTTATTGGGGGTAAATATAAAAACTTATTAAATTTTAAGATAGAGTTAATAAAATTTAAGATTTTTTTATTTTGATAAAACATGCTAAAAATAACTTATAAATAAAATTAGAAAGAATATCGTTCATGGAGACCTCAAGCTAATGAATGAACCCATGATTAAATTTCATTAGGGAAACGAATGATAAAGATGTAATATTTTTTTTAAAAAAAATGAAGGTGACTTTTATGATTTGAGGAGATGTATTTGCCATGTTAGCGAGTGAAATTATGATTAAGTTGATTAATCTATTTTAGTAAATTGTCTAGAAGGGCATAGGTCAATTGATGAACTCCAGAAAATGGTCTTAAAGATGTTCAGGACCAATTTGGTTTTTGTTTTCATTTAAAAAAAACTATTTTATAATATAGTTTTTAAAATTATTTCAAAAAATTCAAAATTGGTTTGATTATGTTAATTTAAAAAAAATTAAAATTAAAAAATATATCAATAATGATAATTATAAATTATTAATAGTGGCAATCTATAATAAAAATTAGCTAAGCTAGTATAATTTTTAAGAATTAAATGTAGCAGATTTTGAAAATAAAAAAAAGAAAAATAATTTGAAGTTGTTTGTATTTAAAAAAAATAAAAACAATCTTAAAAACAATTAAATGAAAACAAATAAATTTTTAATTTTTTTAAATTAAAAACAAACAGGCCCTCAGTCTCTTTTTGGCCCAAATGATGAAGAATATTCTGAATTGGGTTTTCTGAGATTTAGGTTTTGAAAATAGGTGGCGAAGTCCGTGGAGATTGACGTGGCCAATGGGAATTCAATGAAGAATTTGTGCTATCCTCGTACGCAATCTGTGACTATAATTTCACAATTGACTCAGCAAATTTGTTTGGATTCGATAATTTTGATATTTTTGGCGATAAACCCAAAAGCAAATGGACCCATTCTATCTTGAGAAACGATTTTTATGAGTTCATGTCTTCTTCTCCTTCACAGTAATTAATTTACCGTATAAATTTAAATTGATGTAAGAGAGAGAGGTAAAGAAAAAAATTGTCATAAAAGCATGAGTTAAGGTACATTTCAACTATTAAACTATTTCCATGCAGGTAATTTTTTATTGGTAAAATAAAATTTAAGTAAGTTAAGTAGACGATAGCTTATCATAATCAAGGAAAACTTTTAAAATTAAAGCTCTATAAAAGTATTTATAAGTCACACACCAAGAAGATTATCATCTCAATAGTAGGATTTAAACACAATTTTGTAAATTATGAATCAAATCATTATAAATTAAACAAACTTTTATAATTAGGGATGAAAAAGGCTAAACCAAGCTTGGTATTATAGGCATAATGTCACGGATGATATCTCCGTGACCGTGTAAAGACCAATGTAATGAACGATCCGCTGGTTAGCCTCGCACAATATGGGTAAAGGGGGCGACATTAGCATTTGGGGGTGTTCTACCTCAGTCTTCGGACTGAGTGCACAACTGGTCGGGGGCTAGTGCCGCCTCCCTGATGAGCCCATGGCAGGGCAAAACCAGTGTGATTCATATGTGATAAGGCTTGTCCTAAGGATTATGGGATCCTCCAGGACGCCGCACGGGCGCCGTGTGCTGCGCCAGACTCTCAGCCCGTGACAGAGTGGTATCAGAGCAGGACGTACTTTACTGTCGTGTGCGCGTGGGGTCCCACGTTGGGACTGGTCGACCTCGGCACCGCTCCAGAAAGGCCTCCGAGCAGGTGGGTCCAAAAGTGGGGACTCGGGCGGGAAGGTTGGCCGTTGTCGACTCCACTCCTGTTGGCTCACGAGTGCGAGTGGGTCCGAAGAGTGCAGGACTCGGGTGGCCACTCAGCAGTAAGCTGATGTGTTTGTGGCAATACTGTACGTACGATCCTTGGGCGGAGTCGTTCTCCCCTAGCACGAGGGCGTGCTAGATTGGGTGTGGGAGAATGTCACGGATGATATCTCCGTGACCGTGTAAAGACCAATG